TTGAGTCAGATTTACCATGGTGTTTGCTAAAGGGGCAAGGAGGCTGCATCTCCTAACCTCCTCTAACCACACAAGAGGAAGACAGAATCACCATCAATAGCCCAAGGCCTATTCCTGTGAGGCCAGACATGCTGCCTCCCTCCAGCCCTTTCACCACCCATTCTTCCCACAGCACCTACCACCTCTTTGCTAGGTTCAGTAATTCGCTGCAGTGGCCACACAGAACTCACAGATTATGGGATTTAATAGGGAAGCACCAGGCTGCAATTCAAGTTCAGGAACAACTCTCTCCCAGCAGTGTGTGTCTCTTGGTGTGTCTCTCTCAGCAATGCATATCTCCTGTGTCTCTTTCCCAGCAGCACATGTCTCTCAGGAGCATGTGTCTCTCAGGAGCGTGTTTCTCTCAGCAGCACGTCCTTCTCAGCCAGCAGTCAGAGAGAGAGAGTTCTGCCTATAGGAGGCCTCCTTTTGAGCCTGGCAGAGTTGCCAGACTAACCCATCATAACATCAGAATTCTAAGCACCTGAGAGAGAGCAAACTTCCTAGAACATTGCTTTGCAACACTCTCAACAGAAATACCCCAGGTGGATAACTTTTATAATCAGGAGCTCCTCAGTTGCTCACAGCAAATTCCCCTATGGAGTTTACAAAGACTTATGGCTAGAAAAGCCATACCAGGTAATTTACTACACTGCAGTGTTAATGTTCTAAATAGAGTAGAAACGTAAGGAAAAGTACAGAAGCTGGGGAAGTCCCTTCTTGTTCAGTAGCCAGGCAAATCTAGAGCACAGCATGTCCAGGAACACTAAGATGGGATCAGTCTTTAGAGACCTTGAACACTGCACTGAGGTATTTGGACTTTGTTTTGTAGGTGGTTTTAGAGCTGAAGAATAATGTAATCAGATCTTTATTTTAGGAGTGAACTCTGGTGGCAGAAGAGAAGGAAGCTAGCAAAGACTAACAGTGCTCTTAACCTAAGCAGGCTCCTCACCCATAAAGAAACAAAGATTTTAGTGTATTTGGCCTACAGATCTGTGTATTTTGTCAGGCAGGAAGGTAGAGCAAGGGGGGTGGGGATGCTGACCTGAGGGCAGGTCTGAAGGGAGAAAGGGAGAGAGAGGTGGGATATCTATGAAGGTTAATAAACTAACACCTGCTGACAACTGCAACGGCTGATGAGGCATGGCCAATCAAAATTAAGCAAAATGATCACTGGAGGTTTAGCATACACAGAAGAGCTCTCAGGAACCTGTCAATCTGTCTATTAAAGAAACCCAGCCCCATCCTAAGAACGCCCCTTTTAGGAAGTATGAAACCACTAAGACAGCTTAGCATCTTTTCCCATTCCACGGGAAAGACCAGTCTCCACCCTTCTGGAGACACCCTTTACTTTTAATGGTCTTTCGTTCAGCAGGAAGACCTGTTCCCATTCTCCTTGGGAATGTTCTGTGCTTTTAATAGAGTACATATTTGCTTGTGTGATTGATGCTTTGTGATGCAAGTTTGTTCATCCACCATCGCCAATCATCACCTGCTCCTGCCACCCACCTGGTGATCACCCGGGATCACCCGCTTGCGGAGATTCTTCCATTGAGCAGGGTAAGACCAGAGATTGAGGCTGGCCGCCCTGGCAACGTATTTCACTTACACTTTGGGCCATGTCATGACTGATTGACATACGTAAAATCTCTGAGTAAATTCTGAATGTTTTCATTTTGTGAAGACTTGGGGTGGATGAATTTTGACCTCAGGTGTTTTGAGCAACAGAAATATCTTTGGACTCTGTGTTAACTATATTGGAGTTAAACATTAGGGGGAAAAAATTTAATAGTTTCAGCTAACCAGTCCAAGCTATTTCTTTTCTTTAACAGCTTTATTGAAGTATGATTTATGTACCATAAAATTCCACCCATTGTATGTGTACAGTTAGTGATTATTTATTAAATTTATGAGCTGTGCAATCATCACCACAATACAATTTTCCAACATTTTCTACCACCCAAGTAAACCCCCTTGTGCCTATTTGTAGTTAGTACCCACTCCCACCTCAACCCCACGTAATCAATGATTTGCTTTCTGTCTTTAAAAAATATTTTTTTGTAGTCACTTTATATAAATGGAATCATACAGTCTTTTGTGACTGGACTGGCTTCTTTGATATAGCATAATTTTTTTTTTTTTTTCAAATCAATACTTATCTCTACCTATCCAACACTGTTCCCTCCCCTTCCCTCCCACTCCTGGTAACCAACAAAGAAAATTTCCTTCCATATATAAACCTTTCCTTGAATTTTAGAATAATGGACTAGTATAATATTTGTCCTGTGATTGACTTATTTCACTTAGCATAATGTCCTCCAAGTTCATTCACGTTATGCGGTCTTTTGCAGATTCTAGGTTATTCTTTAGGGTTGCATAGTATTCCATTGTGTGTATGTACCATAGTTTGGTTATCCATTCCTCAGTTGATGGACTCCTAGGTTTGTTTCCATCTTTTTGCTATTGTAAATAGTGCTGCAGTGAACATGTTGTTGTTATGTGCCGTCAAGTCGGCCCTGACTCATAACGACCCCTCCTTGGGTTTCCAAGGCGGCATCACTATGGAAGTAGATTGCCCCATCTTCCTTCCGAGGAGTGGCTGGTGGGTTTGAACCGCCAGCCTTCTGGTTAGCAGTCAAGTGCCTTAGGCACTACACCACCAGAACTCCTGTGATGAACATGGGTGTGCATATATTTATTCTTGTCATGGCTCTCACTTCTTTAGGATATATACCTAGTAAAGGAATGGCTGGGTCAAATGGTATTTCTAATTCCAACTCTTTAAGGAATCACCATACAGTATAACATAATTTTTTGAGATCATCCACGTTGTAGCATGTATCAGTATTTTGTTCCTCTTTATTGCTGAATAGTTTTCCATTATATAGATACATAAATTTTATTTATCCACTTAGCAGTTGATAGTCAGTTGGATTTTTTCCAGATACTGACTATTCTGAATAATTGCTACTGTGAGCACTTTTGTATTATGCCTTTGTGTAGATATTTGTTTTCATTTCTTTTGGGTGGAATCCTGGGAGTAGAATTTCTGGGTCATATGCTAAGTTGATGTTCTGCTTTTTTAAGAAACTGTCAGTAAAACTCTATACATAGTTTGACATGATCTTGTTGTGGGGTTTATAATTAATTAAAGAAATTAGTTTTTATTCATGGTTCCTAAGAGGTAATCTCTAAAACCTTAGAACTTCCCCAGTGATTAGAGTCTTTGTTATTCATGGAAGGGTTCCAGACCATATCTATCTGACAGATTATACTGATGAAGTAACTCTTGGGTAGGAGCTGGCCAGGCCAGAAAGACCCACCATGTGATTTAAGCCCAACAACCTTACCTCAGGGGAGGGAGCTGGAGATTGGATTCAGTCACATGGGGGGTGATTTGCGCAGTCATGCCTACATAATGAGACACCCCCCCCAAAAAAAAAAAAAAAACCTCTGGACACTGAATCTCCAAGAGCTTTCTGGTTGGTGAAAAACACCGATGCCTGGAAGGATGACCCATCTATCTGTTTGTTGGAACGTGGACATTCTATGCATTGGGGGACCTGCATAGGTCTTGTCCTATGTAAATTATTGAACCCAAAGGAATAGTGGGTGCCATCAGGTCAGAAGTGAGGGTACCACGGGGCCCTGTAAGCTTGCAGCAGTTTCTGAAATTTGGGGCAGACTTGGCAATCTGGAGGACTGTGCTCTTTAACTTTCATGTACAAAATCCTAAAGAATTCACTGAAAAACTATTAGAACTAAGAAATGAGTTCAGCAAGATTTGAGATCAGTGTACAAAAATCATTTCATTGCCACAGTAGTGCCACTCCTGACCATCTAGCTCTATGCCTGGAGTTTTCTTGGTTTCCTCTCTGCTGCTTTTCTACTAATTTTCCCATCAAGGTTATGACACTACAATTCAATGAACCCCTTAAGTCTCAAAATGTGGCATTAAATTTGTACTGTGTGGCTCAAAATGAAGGAGATCTTAGGTTCAGTATTAGGAATAAATTCCAAAATTGGAATTGTCCTATAGTAGATGAACTGCATTACAAGACGGTAAAATTACCCTTGATGACAGGTGTACCAACAGGGCCTTTTGTAATTGACCTTTTGCTCACCTCTGCTTCATCTCTCCCACACAGTCCCTGAGGCCTGCAAGCCATTTTAATATACATTACGCTAAGGACTGTAAACACTTAAGCAACCTGCATATTGTGTTTTTGTGACTTTTCAATTTTAGATTCAGAATTTTATACTGCCATAGTTAAATGAATTAATAAGGTGGCAAGTGAAGGATAATTGGGTGAACTGAGAAAGGTTGGTCAACCTCCCTGGATATTAGAGAACAGGGTTTAATATTAGACTAAAATTAATTGTGTGGCTTCTAAAGCCTTTTTATCTAAGCCTCACTCCAGAGTTGAGGACACACACAGCTCTACAGTGAGGTCATCATAGTCTCAGACCTATGGTGATTATGACTAGGCTCATCCATACTATAAACATTTTTCATACTTTGATAAAGTAGAAGAAAATATTGAGGTCTTATCATATATAAGACTTTTATGTGCAGTTTGACAGATGTTGCATGCTATTTGCAGGATTATGAAACTTACTTGGGCACTGATGTGTCCTGTGAGATGTTTTATTCTCAGCCATCACACTCCCTGCTGCCCCCCCCCCCCCATTCCCTGGTTCCTTGCCCACTACCATTACAGTAATTAGAAAGTCTGCTTGCTCTACAGTGATGTGTCTTAAATAGTGCCAATTAGTTTTCGGTAGTTACCCCTAGCCTGCATGGTAGCCTTCAGTTTAATGGCCTTTTTTATGTTCATTCATTTTATTTTATTTCCCATCGTGGTTTTGTTTATTTCTTTTTTGTTTTTTGTTTTTCTGTTCTCTTTTTTAAAACCGTCGTGGTTTGCCCTTCATATTCCCCAATGTTTGCACATGACAAGATGTTGCCATCCCAACATTACCTCCCACTTCACTGACCAGTGCCACTACTGACCATCTAGCACCAGCCACAACGGGACCACTGCCTTCAGCTCCACGGGATGTCGTGGCCTCCCTGGTCTCTACCCGCTTCATCAAACTGACATGGCGGACACCTGCATCAGATCCTCATGGAGACAACCTTACCTACTCTGTCTTCTATACCAAAGAAGGGACTGCTAGGTAAGTGCCTGTGTCTGGAGCCAGTTAGCTGCATCTTATTCCTTGGTTCTTTGCTGTGTAAGATATGTACTACTTTTCAGTCCAGAAAATATGTTCACTAACCAAGATGTATCTTCCTTCATTTTTGGTCATTAAAAAAATTCCAAAACTGAGAATTTCCTGTATTCTTTCCAGCCTTTCTGAGATGACTTGGGGAGTATGTAGATTGGGGGTAGGGGTGGGGTCAAAACTAAGGATAAGAGCTATTTAGATGAAAATACTAAACTACAACCAAGTCTATCCTTTTTTAGCACTGCCTGTAGGATATGGCCTACTTAGAACTTTCAGATTCTAGAAATCAAGGTAGACTGTTAACTTAATAAAATAAACTTAAATAAATATCTGTCTGCATCCTTTTGTGGGTGTGGCCTGCTAAGCTCCAGAGGGTCTTCTTGATGCAAGAGTAGTTAGTGACAATATGGGCTCACAATGCATAGAAACCGACTCACTTGTACCTTATGACAACAAAAGTCTTCCTAATACAGCATTTTCATTAAATTCCTCTCTATTTCCAGTCCTCTCAGAAACTCATATTGCCTCTCCATTGTTTATAGGAAAAAATCCAGAATCTCCAGGGTACTTTACAGTCTGGCTTTATTTTATTTATCCAACCTTATTTTCGTCTTTCCCAGTTTTGAAAGCAATCTAATTTCTACCACTATAGCTTTCTCCCACATGCTATTGTCTTCAGTAACTCCCCCTCCCTTTTTCTAGCTACAGTACCCATCACTTTATATTTATATAAACTTTTATGTATGCACACACACACACACATTCAGCCAATCCTTCTTGGCCCAGGCTTCGTTCCATAAAGCCCTCATAAAGCTTTTCCCACCCTTTTTGACACATAAAGTATTTTTAAAATACACTTATTTGTACCACTAATAGTGGCACTTGATTAAGAAAGCATGTGATCTTATGCTGTCATGTTGTTACTCTTCAGTTATTTTTGGTATATTTATGTTGTTGTTCTCAACCAGGATATAAACTCTGAGAAGAATCATGCCATATGTTATGTGTCCTTAATGTTGCTGAGTATATGGAGGTTCAGTGGGAAGTAGATTACTTCATTATGCTCTACTTCACACCAAAATAAGAAAGCCAAAATATCTCTCTTGTTAGGGCCCTGACATATGAAATAAAGCATTTCTTTCTACTAGGATGCATACATTTGAAACAGAGAAATTCCTATGTCTCTTCTTATCTACCAGTCTCAGGCGATACTTCCTCAGGCCTTCCCTGAATACCCACCCAGACTTAGACTCTTCAGTCACTGTCGTACAGGCTATACTGGAACCACCAAAGTTTAATTTTCAGGAAATTTTGAAAACTTAATAGTAGAACTTGGTAGCTTGAAATGGACCATGGTTGGTAGTATTTACATCAACAAATGCTGAGCCTGTAGGAAAACAACACCGCTATCACATCATCCTTTTTGTTTTGCTTTTTTAAGAGCATTTGTCACTTTCTGAAGTTTTCTTTTATTGACTTATTTATTGAGTCTGTCTTGTTCAATAGCGTATCACTACCACCTGGAACAGAGCCTGGCGTGTAGTAACAGCCACTAAATTTTTAAGTGAATACACTAATTTCAGTTCATGGAGAAGTAATGGATTATTCAACAAATTGTGTTGAGATAATTGTCTTACCTAGTAGGAAAAATAAAAGTTATACCCCTGTCTTACACCATATACAACAACAAATTAATAGCTGGATTGTTGTTGTTGTTATGTGCCGTCGAGTCGGACTCGACTCATAGCGACCCCTCCTTGGGTTTCTGAGGCAGTATCACTACAGAAGTAGATTGTCCCATCTTCCTTCTGAGGAGTGGCTGGTGGGTTTGAACCACCAGCCTTCTGGTTAGCAGTTAAGTGCCTTAGGCACTATGCTACCATATGGATTAGGAGATAAATATTTTTAAAACTTGTAAATGTATTGGAAGAAAATACTGAAACTATTTTTTATCATTTTTATCCAAGAAGCCTTTTAAAGGAAGACAGAAAATCCAGAAACGATTTCCAAAGGTTATTATAAAAAAATATAAAATTCATTTGATAAAACATTGTAAACAAGATTAAAATATCAAGTGGCAAACTCTGTAATATTTGTTAAGAATAACGCACTGGTATCCAATCTATAGAAAGAGCTACTACAAGTGAGTAAGTAAAGGATATCCCAAGATGCAAGTGATACGAGCAGGCAACCCTCAGAAGTGGTGGAAAGCCCATTAGAATTAAAATAGGTTCTCACTGTCACTAGCTGTCTTCAAAATACAAAATAATGAGTTAGTTTTTACCTATAAGATTGGCAGACATTTTAAGTTGATAATAATACAGTGTGGCGAGTGAAAAGACAGAAATTCTAGTGGCAGCATAAATTAAGAACAGCCTTCAGGGAAAGTTATTTGGCAATATTTTTAAATCTTTTTAATGTGAATACCCTTCATTCCCAGTTACTTACACTTCTACTTCTCTGTTGTCAGACATACAGATACATGTATGCACAGGCAGCTCATACAGAAATGTTTATTGTAGCATTGTTTGTAAGAACAACAACAGCAAAAAAAAAAAAAAACCCAAAAACAATGTAAATGTCCATTGGTAGAGGAGTGAGCAAATAATACTAGTATATCCCATAAATTGAGTGTGATACAGCAATTTTTAGAAAATGACTTAGATCTATATATTAAAATATTTGTAAATATATAGACTAGGGGCAGCTGTTCCGTCGGGGGACATTTAGTAATGCTGGAGACATATTCTTCGTTACAGCTAGGCTGGAGAGGTGGGATGCTCCTGGCATATAATGGGTGAAGGCCAGGGATGTTGCTAAACACTCTGCTATGCACAGGACAACCCTCACAGCATGGAATTGTCCAGCCCAAAATGTCAGTAGTGCTGAGAAACCCTGGCAGGCAGAGACCTGGTAAGAGACATGTAATTACATGCCATGGTTAGGTCTTGGGATGGAACAGGTTTTCAGGAAGAAGAATTGGGACTTTTTTTTTTTTTTTTTTTTTTTGACTATATATACTTTTGTATTTAAACAGTTTAAATGTATCAATTTTTAAATTATAATCCATGAATAATGGTTGGAATAAACAGGCGGTTAATAAGTGAAGTTGAAATTGAGAGAAATACAAAAAATTGTTGAGGGCAAGAGGACAATTATGTAAAAAGCAAAGGCAGTATGAGTTAGAGTTCCGATTGAGTTTGTGTTTCTGTCATATGAAGGGTAGTATGATAGGAAAGGTAGCCTAACCAGCCCAGAGTTTTTGGCACAAATTAGTGAGAAATTAGAATAAACTGCATGTTTTGAGCCAGATGTTGGAATGCCAGGAAGAATTTGGACATAATCAGATAAGCAAGAAGGGACTATTTTAGATTCCTGAGCAAGTGTGCACTGTGATCGTTTTTTGTTTTGTTTTGTTTTTTTTTTTTTTTTAAAGTAGCTTATATTAGTAGTACTTTGGGAGCATTAAACAGGATTCAAAGGGAGAAGGAATGGACTCGGGGAGACAAAATTAGGTAGTAGTTGTGTTTATCAAGGTATGTGAGTGATGACCTGGATAAAAATGAAAATAGTAACTGGGAGTGGATAGTATAACCTTGGAAATATTTAAAAGGAAGATTCTTTTAGACTAATATCTTTTGGTACTTCGTAAGTTCATGATTTCTGAAGAGAGGCAGTAGTAGCAAATAACACTAAGTAAAAGACCATTTCCTAGCTACTTGTTTTATAGAACAAAGTTTACTTAACCTCTCTAAGCTTAGCTTTTCTCATCTAAAAGAATGAGATAGATAAATTTACTTTATAGACTTACCAGTAAGAATTAAATGTGAGAATCTGTGCCACTAAGTGTACTGTACTGCAACAAGTGGTTGTCCCATTTCCTGCAATTGAACCTTCAACCACCAGGTGGCACTATGCGCCTTGGTCATGAAAGAAAATTCTGTTGGGTACTGGAGTTGCTTGAGATTCCAAATGGGCCTTCCTCTGCCTTTTTAACCATGAATGTTAGCCTTTAATTAAAACAGCTGTACTTATCTGATGTTAACTACTAAATGAAAAGTAGAGTAAGTTATTCCAGAGATTGATAACATTTTAGAGCTGGATGAAGCCTTAAAGATGTGTTAGTCCAGGGGTTGGCAAACTGTGGACCATAGGCCAAATCAAACCAGCTGCCCGTAGGTAACTAAAGAATATCCTCCATTTGCCTCCCGATCTACAGATTCAGAGAAACCTGTGAAAGCCAGAACTTCACAGGACTGCCTTGTTTTTCCAGGTCTCACAAATTTTCCACCTTTGACAGGGTGCATCTTACCACTCACTTTCCTATCACTCATTTTAGTGGAAAATATGTGTGTTTTCCTTCTGATAGGTATCTACCTTACACAGGTTCTGGCTTTTCCAGACTGTTCTGTATTTAATCCCTCTTTAAGAGAAAGTTTTCTGACTCCTAGCCTCATTCTTTCATTTAACACATGAGGAAGAAAACTAAAGCCCAGAATGGGTTAGTGACCACCCATGGACTCATAGCAAGCTACCAGCATTGCCAATTGGATCTCCTAACTTCAGGTTAAAGTAAAATAGACCCTCCCCCCATTATTTCCCTAGGAGAGAATGCATTTAACTTTTATATGCAGGATGAGGAAAACAGACCCAACCTACACTCTCATGGAACCTTAAGTTTAGTGAAGTATAAAATACATTACTTTTTTTAGACAGATATAATTCGTAGACAGAACTTACACAAATGTCAGAAACCTCAAAATGTAAGAAACCACTTGATACCCTTCTTCTTGGGCTCTATGACTTAAAGTTTAGCTGAAGAGAAAATACATTTATAGATATTTCAGATGTCTCTGAGCAGAAATTTTTATTATCATAGTACTCTTTTCTAGTGAACCTGATTATAGAGAAACAACGCCTATAATATGGTGTGGGGCCATGCTGAATTTCTTGTTGTTGTTTAATGAAAGTAGAGTACCTTATGGGTGAAGGGATTTTAAAGAAGAAGGAAGATTAGTTGTTAGTTGATAGTTTTTGAAGCTAGATTATGGGTACATGGGGGTTCATTGTACTAGTCTTTGTTTCTGTTTGAAATGTTTTATAATACATTTTTGAAATAAAAAAATAGGGAGCTCTGGTGGCATAGTGCCTAAGGTGTTTAACTGCTAACCAGAAGGTTGGCAGTTCAAACCAACCAGCCAGTCCGTGGAAGGAAGACGGGGCAATCTACTTCTGTAAAGATTTACTACCTCGGAAACCCAGTGGGGGTCGCTGTGAATCAGAATCAACTCTATGGCAGTGAGTTTTTGAGTATTTTCTTTAAAGAGCTATAGAAAACCATTGAAAAACACTTAAATGTCTCAAATGCAAAGGTTCATGTGCAATCTTACAAATTGACATATGGTCATGTAGAACTTTACAGTTTAGTCACTGATTTCAGGACAAATTAACAGTATTTTTAAGTAAGAATGTTAATTCAACGGATAAGATAATTCAGAATAATTTCTCCCACAGAGTAGTTTCTCAAGATAGATACAGGTGTTTGCTCTTATGATTACATTTCTCGAAGGCAAACTATTTGTCTTAAAACAAGTAAATTCCTTCACGTAATTTGTTGAAGACTGCTGTGAAATACAATGTTTGTTGTCATAGTAACTACAGTAGATTGAATATAAGTGTGGACACACAGACCCCCAATGTAGAGCCTGGAAGCTACCTTTTTAGAGACCCTAGATAACTGCGTTTATGCTTTTCATCTTATAACACAAGATCACTAGATTCATTTGTACCATATTTGGTAAGATTTGTCAAATGTGTGAAATCATTCAAAAGGAGGACAAGTTTTAACAATTAAACTATAAAATTCAGTGTCATGATTAGTCTGCCATAGGTGGGGTTACATATGGGATTCATTTTAAATTTTTCATGTTCTTATTCCTAATTTAAAACGTGATGACAATCTAGTTTGTTTTGTTTTTAATTTGAGAGTCTATGCAAAATATTCAACTGTCTCTTGACTGTTTCTGTGAAAATTGGGTCATACCTATAATCTCCTGTTGATTTCCCTGAGAATCATTCACTAAAACACAACAACTCCTAAAGCCTGTAAAGACTACGACAAGCTGCTCCATTTGAAATGACGCTCAGCACGCTCTGTGTGTTCACTCTGAAAGGAAGTAGTGATCATAATCAGCAATTGAGCCAGAGCACCAGCAGGTTAACAGACATGTATGACCTTGCTCTCTTCTGTTGCCATGTTCTGCTGTGCACCTCCTCACCCCAAAAGTTTCATTGTTTGAGAATTGAGACTTAATTTCACCTAAAATTGTTAAACTTTGATATGGAGTGGTGTGTACAGTCATTTAAATGAAAATGAAACTGTATGTTCTAGAAATATTCCTAATGGATGCCATTTCTTTCTAACTACTTCCTTGCCCAAAGGGAACGTGTAGAGAATACCAGCCACCCAGGAGAAATGCAGGTAACCATTCAAAACCTGATGCCAGCAACTGTTTACATCTTTAGAGTTATGGCTCAAAATAAGCACGGCTCTGGAGAGAGTTCAGCTCCACTACGAGTAGAAACCCAGCCTGAGGGTAAGTCTCCCACCTTTCCCTCAGCCTCACCTGTGGCTATAACTGTATGAAGGTCTGCCTTGGGTTTAGCCTTGCACACCATGGAGAGACAGAAGATAACAGTTCCTTACCTTCGAGAATCTGACGAATTAGGGAGATAAAACTAATTCACATCAAATAATAGCTAATGATAGACAATATACTTCTTCTAATACTTCTTTACACATTTGAATTTTACTGACCCTTTAAAGACCCAGCTCAGATTCCTTCCAGAATCTTTGCTCTGATCTCATCTGTATCTGTGTAGTTTTGTGATACATTGTCACTGTTTTCTTTGAATTATGATTATGAATGTGTCTCATTTATCTTATGACAAAGACTGAGTCTTTTCTTTCCTTATTTCCCACACTACCTACTGTAGTGCCTTCCGCATGAAGAAGATACTTAATAATTGTTGTCAGTTTCTAATCTTTATACATACCACACTCCAGAATCTCTTTAAGGCTTTTTTTGTACTAAATAGTGTTACTTCCAATTACATATCTTAAGTTTTCTACCATTAAGATGAACATCATGTTGATTTATTTTACAGATGTCTTATGGTCTCTTTGCCACTTGAGACATTTTTCTAGTCTTTTTCCTTTGTTTAATACAAGTCATTGTCTTCCCTACGAGTATTCTTCAGGCTTCTTTTACTATTTACTGCACTTATTTTTTGTTTATTAGCAGACGGCCTCCAATAACAAAGATTTTACTTCCGGTAGGGGGCACGTGGAATTCTAATTCACATCGAATAATAGCAGAAGCTAGAAGTTGCTGACCAGGGGACTAAACAGATTTGATGAATTTACCAGTGAAATTAAGGGAATAATTCAGGGACTTTACCTGCTGAGCAGAATAAGTGAAGTCAGAAAGCTAAGGCACTTCACGTTCTAATGTTGTTGCAAATCAATCACTCATTAAACATTTATCAAGTGCCTGCTATACCAGGCACCTGGGAGCTCTGGTAGTGTAGTGCCTAAGGCATTTGACTGCTAACCAGAAGGCTGGTGGTTCAAACCCACCAGCCACTCCTGGGAAGGAAGGTTGGGCAGAAACCCAAGTAGGGGTCCCTATGAGTCGGGTCTGACTCAACAGCAGTGGGTATACCAGGCACCAGAAGAAAGGCCTGGTGATCTACTGCTAAAAAAATCATGCAGTGGAAACCTTATGGATCACAGTGGTCTGATCCCATTGTGCATGGATTGAGGCCAACCCAGTGGCAGCCAACAACAACATACCAGGCATACAAAGTATTGGGGTATAGGGATGAACAAGATAGGCATTCTCCCTTTAAATAATGAGCTGTCAAAATAGGAAGTCATTGATTATTTCATTTCTAGAGATTGAAGATCAGGGATCAAACCCACAAAGAATAAGAGGACTATCAGAGAATCAAGTGATTGACTTAAAAGAAAAATATGTTCTCATTACAGGAAAAGCTAAAAAAAAAAAAAACCTCACTGCCGTCGAGTCGAATCAGACTCATAGCGACCCCTCCTTGGGTTTCCGAGGTGGTATCTCTATGGAAGTAGATTGCCCAATCTTCCTTCTGAGGAGTGGCTGGTGGGTTTGAACCACCAGCCTTCTGGTTAACAGTCAGATGCCTTAGGCACTACATCACCAGAGCTCCCCATTACAGGAAAGGATGTTGAATTTCATGGTTACCAATGTTCAGGCATTGAAACCATGCAGTTTCAAGCTCAGTTACCTCCATTTACAGGCTTTATACAGGAGAGCTATTGAAATAAAAAATAAGAAAAAATGGCTATAAAAGATAGGTAAGTTAAGGCAAGTTCGTATGACAAGACAAGACCTAAGGCTGGCCTTACAGCATTTGACTTAGAGCATTCTGGAGGAAGGAAGCTGCCTGACCCAAATCCCAGGAATAGAATTGAACAGTACACAGACAAGGTAATTCATGATGAAAGTGAAGGAAAAGACCATTGGATTCTATCAAGCACAAAGATTCTATCCTGGAGTCTGGAACCTTCTGAAAATACATGAGAATCTTCATGTGTCTTTGCAACTTCACATATTTCTTGGGAGAGAGCCTGTAGTTTTCATTATTTCAGAGCTTGTAAGTCCAACTGTTGAGAACCACTGGACTAGGAAGGCAGCTGTCAGATTTAGAGATGAAAGTAGAGCTATAAGAAGAGTGGGTTTACTGGGTGACTACCATGTGTCATTTACTGTGCTAGTCAGTGAATTTGTGAAAATGAGTAAGACTTGACTCCTCTCTGCAAGAAGCATACAGACTTCTACCAGAGACAGACAATATGCCATTTTAATGGTATTAAAAGTGTTGCCATCACCAGTAAAGTAGATAGCATGATCGTTTGGTTAAAAGAAAGTAGTTAAATAGGACTGTGGATGGAAGGGGCAGCAGGTTCTTGTGAAGGTATTTTAGGGACAGGGAGAGAATGTAACACATTTTGGCAAAAGAGAAGGAGTTAGTGGAGAAAGATTTGCATTTCATCTGGAGGTACTCAGCTTGTGTGGGGGAGGTGAAGTGTTGGAATCAGCCCTTGAAAATATTTAGCCTCACAAACCAACATAATTTTTCTTCCCATTTATGATGCCATTCTACAGCTAAAATGAAGGAATTCATTAGCGCCTTTTATAAGATCATATTTGCCTACATTTAGCCAATGAATATATTGAAAGTGATTTCAAGGGAATCCAGGGACTATTTTATTTTCCTTCCCGTTTAATAAGTTAGAGGAAAGTTTTCCATAGCAACAAAAGTGTGACAAATTCCACCTGTCAGGCTGCACAAAATATGCTCTTAACATAAAGTGAATAGCATGATTCATGACTAAATATAGCAAATAACTGTTAGCATAACCATATTCAGGTTTCTCTACATTGGTTGCAAGATTAGTCTTAAACTGTGGTGGTGGTTTTCAGGAAATCCAGTTTGTTTTACATTTTGTTGTTTTTTTTCCCTACCCAGCTCTTAATCTAATGGATGTGTCTGTTGCAGAAAGAGTAGTGCCAGAGAAATTGTTTTCAAATATAGAATTTCTACCAAAGTGTAGGCATAGGCAGCTACCCAGGATTTTTGTATAAATTGGTACTGGAGCCTATCAGTCAGATGAAAAAATAGGGTTAGAAAGTCATGTCAACCATGGTGGGAGTTAAAACCAGATGGACAGACATTTGATCACTCAGCTAGTCATCCAGCCATCCAGTCACATATGTTACTGAAGGTATTGTAATAATTTTCTTACTGGTCTTCTTGAGCCCAAAATTTAGAATATGCTTAATTCCTAGCTTCATCACTCTCTAACTTTCCCATCACTTGGGAACGATTCTTAATGGCTCAATCTCAGTTTCCTCATCTGTAAATGGAGATAGTAGCATCCATCTCATTTGGGTTATCACACAAATTAAATAAGAAAATGTATGTAAAGCACTAATGTTTGCCTGTATAAGCATTTGGTAAATAGAGCTGTTTCTAAAATTGATTATTATTATTCCTTTGTCTAGTCATGTTCCCTTATGTGTTTCTTCCATGCATGTGTTCAGATGTCCTTTCTAAACACAGGTCTTATCATGTCATGCTCCTGCTCATAGTTTTTTAGTAATTACCTAGTATCTACTGGAGAAAATCCAAAGTCCATAGCATGAAAGGCACTTCATTTTGATTCGTGTCACCTTTTTTAGCATTATCTTCTCCCACATCTATTCTGTGTTTCAATCAACCTGAACCACATAACACTGTGTCTTTTCCTGACCCATTGAATAGAATGATTTTCCTATTGTTGTTTGAGCAAACTACTATTCACTCTTCTTGATTTCAGTAAGTCTTCAGCAGTCTCTTCCTTCTTCCTTGCCTATCCCCTCCCAAAGCAGAACTGAGTAGTCTGTTCTCTGTTTTTGTTACAATGGTTACCTAAATCTATTAACATGTATCCTTTTAATCTGTGGGAGTTCTGGTGGTGTAGTGCCTAAGGCATATGACTGCTAACCAGAAGGCTGGCAGTTCAAACCCATCAGCCACTCCTCAGAAGGAAGATTGGGCAATCTACGTCCATAGTGATGCCACCTCGGAAACCCAAGGAGGGGTAGCTATGAGGCAGGATCGATTCCACAGTTAACGTGTTTTTGTTCTCTAGTGCTGCTATAACAGAAATACCACAAGTGGGTGGCTCTAACAAAGAAGTTTATTTTCTCACAGTTGAGGAAGGTAGAGGTCTGAATTCAGAACATCAGCTGTAGAGGAAGGCTTTCTCTCTCTGTCAGCTCTGGAGGAAGATCTTTGTCTCTTCAGCTTCTGTTCTTTGGTTCCTTAGAAATGACCATGTGGCTTGGTAACTGTCTTCCCCCAACTGTGTTTCCTTGCTTAATATGATCTTTTTATATTTCAAAAGAGATCGACTCAAGATATACCCTATACTAATACTGTCTAATAACAAAGAAAACGTGTTCCCAAATGGGATTATAACCACATGTATAGGGGTTAAGATTTACAACAGGTATTTTAGGGAAACACAGTTCGATCCATAACAGTATGTTTGATGTTACTTGTAACTATTAATGTATCTGACTTCCCTGACTAGACTAGGAGTTCTTTGTGGTGAGGAACTCTGTCCATCACTGTATCCCCACAGCCTGCCACAGTGCCTGGCAAAAGAAGCCTTTCTTTATGGTGGTTGATTTTATGTGATACTGCAAAACTGGGACTTTATAAACCATAGGAAGAGTTTTGCAGTTGTCATTTTTTTCTTATTTTGAATTAATTGGAGGTACTTCACTGATAATTTGTGGTTTTAATGTGACTTTGAAAAATAAAATATTTAATTATGTATCATTCTAAAGCCACTTCAATTAAATCACATGTTTTCTTAGTTTTTTCAACATGGCCAATATGACGATATTGCTGAGAATGGTTTTTGAGGAGTGCAGTGTATTTCATTTATATCTTGCTCTCTTGAAATTTTCTTTCTAGTTCAGCTCCCTGGACCAGCACCTAACATCCGAGCATATGCAAGTTCACCTACTTCCATCACTGTCACATGGGAAACACCATTGTCTGGCAATGGGGAAATTCAGAATTACAAATTGTACTATATGGAGAAAGGGACTGACAAAGAACAGGTATAAAATGAAGCCATTTTTCAACCCATTGATTGGACTAGTAGAGTTGAAATATATTCCTGAACTCTCTATTGTGTAACTAGAAATCTGAGGGAAAAAAGGTTAAGAAATTAACAGTTGACAGATTGAATTTCTTTGTACCAAAGTACTCAGTGGTTTTCACCAGCAGGGGTCACTAAATACCAAGCAGTGTTTCTAAAGTAAATTGCCAATGGTTATGATTCATCTCCTTTGACGGTTTAATAACATTTTTTAAAAGGAAAAAAAAAAATTCTATATCATGTAGAATATAGAATTTATGTAGTAAATTTTTTATTTTTAAGCATTTTTATTGACTTGAGTTGTATAAGTTGTTTTATTTTGCTCAAGGATGTTGATGTTGCAAGTCACTCCTACACCATTTATGGGTTGAAAAAATATACAGAATATAGTTTCCGAGTGGTGGCCTACAATAAACATGGACCCGGAGTCTCCACACAAGATGTTGCCGTTCGAACATTGTCAGACGGTGAGTCTTTCTTTCTTTCAAACAAATTCCATGCTTGGTGGCCTTGGTGTCATAGGTAAGATCATGGGCTTTGATGTCAAGAAGATTCAATATAAACCTCAGTACCACCACTTTTGGGAAGTGACTTTGGTCAAGTCATTTACCATTTTCTGAGCATGTTTCCTTATATGTAAAGTGTAGACAATGCCAACTTCATAAAGCTGCTATAATGATTCACTGAAAGAGCATAGAGCATTATGGTGATGGGCATAGGCCCTCAGTGATTTTAGTTTTAGCAGGGGGTTTGTGTAAGTAAATGTTATTCATTCACAGCACAGGCCATTCCAGGGAAGGCTAGTCTTGCTGTGCTTAGTAGTCATATTTGTACACCCAGTATATCTTTTTAATTCCTCAGTATTTTATGATCATTTTCATCTCTCACACGTAACTCTGTCTGACTTTCTAAGATAAATTATATTCATGTAGCCATGTGCTTTTCAAGCTATAGCTTGCCTAATATATTGAGTAGATCAGGACCAGCATTTTTTTAAAAATACATTTTTTTTTAGAATAGGACAGACAGTATCAGAGTTTATCATACTTAGTTGTTCATGAAACTAGCATTTTCTTAAAAAAAAAAGTAGAGGAATATAGCCCTTACATGTAAACAGGCATGCTTTTAAAAAGCTATAGTTTGAGTTTCTGAAGCAAATGGCCAAACTTAAACATTACTAATAATGAACAGATTGACATCACGTACTGCCTAATGTGATGCATCATTAAAAACACAACTTCACCTATGCTATATCCTTGCCAAAATCTGATGACTCTGATCATATTGAAACTATCGAAAAACAAAAAACCAAACTCACTGCTGTTGAGTCGTTTCCAACTCATAGCGACCCTCATTGGGTTTGCAAGGCTGTAAATCTTTACAGAAGTAGATTGGCCAGTCGTCCTTCTGCGGGGCAGCTGGTAGGTTTGAACCGCTGACTTTTCAGTTAGCAATCAGGGTCTTATCCCCTACATCACCAATGCTCCAATGAAACTACCAGACATGTCCAAATTGAAGGACATTCTTGGGGAAAAAAAAGCTGAGGAGTCATTCTAGAATCTAGATTAAAGTACACTAATGAGACATAAAACAAAATGCACAGTGTATGATCCTTGACTACATCCTAGATCTGGGAGTTAAAGTAGCTATAAAGGATACTATTAGTACAATTGTTTAATGTTAAATATTTATAGTGTTATGTAAAATTAATATTAGATACATTATTAGGTGTAATCGTTTTGTATTAACATGACATTTTCTGAATGTGATTATTGTATTATAGTTATGTTGAAGAATATTCTTGTTCTAAGGAGACAGATGTTAATGTTTTTAGGAGTAAAGTATCATGGTGGCTGCAGGTCTTTCTCAGATGATTTGGAGACAGTATATAGATGGGTGTGTGTGTGTGTGTGTACACAGTGAAAGAAATAGAGCAGATGTGGCAGAATATTAACAATGAATAAATCTAGGGAAAGAATTCATGGTGTTCATTGTGCTATATTTGCTCTGTAGCACTTCAAACTTTTTAAGATAAAAAGTTGAGGAAAGTAAATAAATATGTAAGCCAGTTGCCCAAAACTTTTGAGAACAGTTGAGGGAATTTTTTTTTCAATGTAGGCTTTTAAATACTTAAAAAAAAAATTACTGTTGAGTCAACTCTGACTCATAGTGACCCCTACCTCCACCCTCCGGTGTGTCAGAGTGGGATGGCTCCATAGGGTTTTCAGCGGATGACTTTTTTGGAAGTTAAATTTATACATGAGCCAAATTTTAACCAGAGTAAGTGGGTTGGCATGTTAACTGTAGTATCTGTCACAGGAACTGGCTATGTCTTACCATGGTAGTTAAAGGCAGCACTTCCGAGTAAGACCAACTTCGTCAGCCAAGACAGTTAGCTTGGGCAAGTTACTTAACTGCTCTGAACCTCATCTGTCAAATGAGAATAAGAATATAAACTCCTTTGTTGGGATTGTTTTGAGGATTAAGTGTGAAACAAATGTAAAATACTTAGCAGTACCTGCCTTGTAGTGAACAGTCAGCAAATCTTAGCTGATGCTGTTGGTAATGCAGCAGAAACAACTATGTTGAGGGCCTCTGCAGTTAAGTCAGAGGTTCTTAACAGGAAGATGATTGATACCATTCATAGAGTTTTTTAAAATACAAGTGCCTAAGTCCTATTCCAGATGCTTTGTACCTGATGTACAAAAATGAATAAGATTTAGTCTCTGTCCCCAGAAACTCATAGCATAGTGGACACTCACCAAGTGTCAGAGAGAAGAGATCATTTTCCATGGGTAGTTTGGGAGAGAAGGGCTTGAGTTAGCATTTTGTGAGTGGAAAGAAAACTAATTAGGTCTACTTGGAGCTCTGGTAGCATAGTGGCTAAGACACTTGCCTGCTAACCAGACGGCTGGCGGTTCAAACCCACCAGCCACTCCTCGGAAGGAAGGTTGGGCAATCCTACTTCCGTAGTGATACTGCCTTGGAAACCCAAGGGAGGGGTCGCTATGAGTCGGGTTTGACTCGACGGCACATAACAACAACAACAACAAGTTTTCTTTGCTTACTGTAGTCACTTGGAAGGAAGATGCTGGAGGGTGTGTAGGCCATTAACTTTGAGATACCCTTGCCTTATGTTCTAATATGCAAGAACTGAAGTTATACAGCTGTTTATTTAACCAACAGTCCCAAACTTCTCACATCTAAGTGAATGTGCCCTACTATGGAGTTGCCTTGGGAAACCAGATAGTATGATTTTCAGCTGTCATTGCTGAAATATCTCTTTGCTCTATTTGAACACTGCCTTCAAAACAAGTTTAGGAGCCCCACAAGAAAGCCAAGCTCATTGATTTAGTTCCAGAAGACATATGGCTCTTCCCCAAGATAAAGATAAGCTAACATGAAGAATATTCAAAAGGTTCAGAATGTATGTGGGAGAAGGGTCTAGAAAAGTTTAAAGCCACTAGCACATCCTTGAAATAAATATCTAAGTTTGCAAGGGTGCAAACTGACTTTGGTATGAGTATATGCATACATACGAATGTGCCTGATTTTTTTTTTTTTTAATGAATCAAATATGACCATACTTCACCAATGTCATACTGTCAACATGAGGCCTTAACAGCTGGCTTTAGACCTTCAGGTTGCATCATGGCTGTATGAGATGTGCATTTGTGTGAAGTTCAGTGAAGAACAGTCTTGTAATAGGTGATGTGTGGGTGATTGGGGAAAAAAAATTTTTTTTACCTTTTTTTTTTCTTTTTTGACTTGTCTAGTTCCCAGTGCGGTTCCTCAGAATCTGTCATTAGAAGTGAGAAATTCAAAGGTAAAACTTCATATTGCTGCTGTTCATTTTTACTACTCTGTTATTAAATCTCAGAAGGGCTTATGGAGAAGATGATTCTGTGGGAGGTTATCAAAACAAATGAATGTCAATCTTACAATAATCTACTTTTAAAAATACTAAACGTAAAAGTTAGAACTTAACTATAACAATCAGGCAGAGAAATAAGGTGACATAGGTATTACACTTGCCAATGAAGCTGGACTTAGAGATCATCTCTCGATAATTCTATTCAACTTTACTGCCTTTCTCTGATGCCAAAATTGCTTTAGCCTTTCTTCAAATAAATTACTATTATTATGTAAAGCATGACATTCTAGATCTTACTGGTCCACGACCTTGGTGATGTGGCAGAAAGAAATAAGTGGTGCCTGATCACATCATCCCTTAAAAAAAAAAAAAAAAAAAAAAAACTCACTGCCATTGAGTCAGATCATTGAGTCAGTCACTCATAGTGACCTCTCCTTGGGTTTCTGAGGCGGTATCTCTACGGAAGTAGATTGCCCAACCTTCCTTCCGAGGAGTGGCTGGTGGGTTTGAACCTCCAGCCTTCTGGTTAGCAGTCAAGTGCCCTAGGCACTGTGCCACCAGAGCTCCTACATAGTCCCTTAGGACTGTGAACTGAGCCACTGTGAATCCATGGCAGACATCTGTCAGATTGGTTGCATGTGCTCAGACCATCCCTCCTGGTCAGGTTTCACACACTGTATGTTTAGGGCGGTGCTTGCCTCTCTAAGGTCCAGAGCCCCTTCTGGGCTGTATTGACAACTGAGATATTTCAGCCCTTTGAAAAGTACTCCAGGACTCGTTTTCCTCTTTAAGAAACAAATATCTGTTAATTGATGATCCCTTTTTTGAAGAGTTTTAATTAGAAATATTTTTATTTCAGCCATTCCACACTAGAGACGGGAAAGAACCTTTACACCTAATAGTAATTTTCTTCCTGATCCAAGCAAATGCCTCTGCTCTACTTATATTTTCCTTCTGAAAACTTTTCTGAGACTTTTGCTCAATGTCTTCATTCTGGTAAAATAGGCAATAGATCAAGGGCCTAACATATGCTACCCATATAGATCATCTTCCCATTTGGTCATTGAGGGTTTAAAATGAAATGTTTTTGAGTGATTAAATAACTTTATAAAACTCTGGGCACCCTGCTGCCTTTATTTTCTTTCCCTTTGACACAGTGAAGTTAGGGCAATCATGCATGAAACACTTTGGGCCTAGTTTTTTATGTATTCAGTCTTCTACCCATAATCTTGTCTTTCTCAGAGTATTATGGTTCACTGGCAGCCTCCTCCTCCAGGCACACAAAATGGGCAGATTACAGGCTACAAGATTCGTTACCGAAAGGCCTCCCGAAAGAGTGATGTCACCGAAACCCTGGTAACTGGGACACAGCTGTCTCAGCTGATTGAAGGTAAGCTGCTTTGCACATAAGCAAAAGCTGGGAAGGGATGTCTTTCTCAGACACTGAATTATGCTCGTTTAATGACTGCTGTGTGCTGTTGACCTATACAAACAAGTGTTTCAAATGATTTTTAATGGTTCAGTCTACTTCTGACTCAATACGGGTTAATGAAAAACATTCTTACAGGGTCCACCATTCTGATTGGTGAGATTGTGTTTGATTTTTATTTCCTTGTGTTTTTCTGTATTTTCCAAATTTTCTTTTTTGAATATATAGTGTTTTTTTTGTAACCTGAAAAGAAGAAAAGCCAAGCTATGTAAGTGAAGACATTACTCCCCTTGATCTAGTTGGTTACAGAGGTCTATGAAATGATTTTTATAACACTGACACTATTCATATGCTTATGGACCTGAAACAGTATTTGTGAATAGCTGCAGCAGTGCAATAATTTTACCTGCTAGGGACACTATAAAGTTTTAGAACATTCTATTAGAGATAGCTCCTTTCATACTGGTTTTCTTGTGTGTACAACACAGCAAGTGCCATACCTGATGAAAACAAGTCCCAGTGCATGTTGAATATGGTTTTCCCTTGCAGATCAAAGAGAATTCCCCATCTTTCTCCCTCAAGTAGGGGAGGTAGGGTTGACTGAGTAAAGCAAGTTCTTTTGTAGAAGGAGCATGGGAGGAAGATAGAGTGCCTTTTCTCCCTTTAGATGGCAAAACTATGCTTACAAAGAAAAGAGACGGATGCCCTTAAGTTGTCCTTACTCTGTAGTGGTTTACACAGATGTTTAATATGGCAAAACTGACTGGAGTCTGAGCATAATCTGTCCTGTCCACTCCTACATTAGTTTAGTAATGTCTAGACTCTGTCCTCCTCAGCTGCATATGGCTCAGCCCTAGCACCCTGTCCTTAGCCAAGGGGAGTAAACTCACTTGGGCTGTGCCTAGTGGTGCACTGCCTCAGCTGCATTGCCTTAGTTTTTCAACTTAACAAAATTACCTAACTATGTTTCATAAGCAAGGAGATGAATTTGAATCTAATATGTTTACATTCAAGGAGCTCTGGTGGCACTGTGGTTAAGGTATTGGGCTGCTAACCAGAAGATAGTTGGTTTGAACCCACTAGCTGCTCCGTGGTAGGAAGATGAGGCAATCTACTTCTGTAAAGATTCACAGCCTTGAAAACCTGGTCAGGGTCGGTTTGAGTCAGAATCAAATCAATGGCAGTGGGTTTGGTTTGGTTTTTATGTGTGCATTCAACAGGTCTGAATTATTGCTGTGTGATAATAACAGGGAAGGTTTAGTCATGAGATAAAAGCTCTGATTCAACTGATTTTTGCCGGGAATAGCCAAAAGCAGAGTTGGTTGAAAAGAAATATAAGAAGTAAAGGTACTGTCATTATTATCTAAGCCTTGAGAATTAATTTCATCACCCTTTGAAAATTCTAATTTTCATTACATTATATCTCTCCTGAGTAGATATTGAAATGAAAGGATTCTAGAAGTTTGGCATCAGCCACTTCCTGTGCCTGCAGGGACCAGGTTATTGAAAGAATCAAAATCAGGGGTTAAAAAGTATAATTCTCTTCTTTATAAGTAAAAATTTCTAAAAATTGAGAGAGCCACTGACTATGGAAATCTATGCTCAAGTAATCCAGCTTTCTTCCTTATTCCTCATCTCACAAATAGGATTGACTTCATTCAGATTAAAATAAGGTAGATGTTTGGCTCTGAGGACATCTTCCAGTCTTTTAGTTTCTTCCCATGAGCCCTGTATCTCGAAGCTGCAGTAGGTGGAATCTCACTAAGGCAGCATTACAGTGAAACTGGTCAAGGGTGTTCTCTAGAGTCATTCTCTGATTTTACTCTTACAGCAGAAATAGCATTTCCCATCCGTGATGCTTCGATTTGAATATTTAATGATAGATATTGTGTTCAGGCAGGTGTTCTTAGTGATAATAATATAAAAATAAAAAGTACAGTCTTATGAGGAGACTGTTTTCTCAATGGAACATTTGATATGTAAGGAAAATGCCATTTTTATAGTAAAGATAGCTCTTTGTTTCTTGCATTACAAATTTAAATTCTTGCATTTAAAAATCATCTTGAGATTCATTTGTTTAACAAATTTTTCTTGGACTTTTTTTAGCATGTGCTGGGACTGGGGATACAGTGCTGGGCAAAAACAGAGATCCTTGCCCTCTTAAAGCATTAACTCAAAGGTTGAAAAGTGTTAGGGCAAAATATGGATTACTAAGAGCCTATACCAAACAATATATTATATGATTAAACTAAGTTTTAGCTGGAAGTAAGTATCCTTTCTTTTTTTGTACCGCTGTCTCTTAAGATATTTACCACATTCTGCCATATCTTTGTGTTATGTATTTTGTGCCTTAGTTGTATGTAGCCTATGAACTCTGTAGGTTACTTAGAGGGAGAGGAACTCTTACCTTCTTTTACTCATAATTCACGTTCACTCACTTGCTTACTCTCTCATTCTCACTCTTAAATTCTAACCTCTTCCCAAAGAGGAGGGAATGATAATCTGATAATAATCTGATTAGTTACATTCTTTGGAGACCTTGATTGAGCTGTGTTTGTGAGTAGTCCAAGTAACTGTCAGCAGTCATATGTGTAGCCCCCTCTAGCACTTTCTGGAGATGTGGAGAGGAAGCAGGAAGGGAACTAACTTGGTCCCAGCCATTTTACTCCTTTATCTTTCTTGTTCCTTGTCTTCTTGCGGCTAGACGGATTCAGTATGTTCCTGAAGAGAACAGAACCATCTCTCCCCTCATACCATGTTACAGTTTTGATTAACTGAGCCTAGACACATCCTTTTATCATACTTAACTCCATCTGTATGCTGAACAAATACTCTGAAAAACTGGACTACATGTGGAAAAACGTGACATCAGGATTAGAGGAAGACTCATTAACAACCTGTAATATGCAGATGGCACAGCCATGCTTGCTGAAATTTAAGATGACTTGAAGCACTTACTGATGAAGATCAAATACTACAGCCTTCAGTATGGGTTATATCTCAACATAAAACAAAAATCCTCACAACTGGACCAGTAAGCAGATATGATAAATGGAGAAAAGATTGAAGTTGTCATGAATTTCATTTTACGTGGGTCCACAATCAATGCCCATGGAAGCAGTATCCAAGAAATCAGATGACATATAGCATTGGGCAAATCTATTGCAAAAGATCTCTCTGAGGGACTTATCTCTAGAATTTATAGAAAACTTCAACACCTCAATAACAAAAAGACAAATAATCCAATTAAAAAATGGGCAGAAGACATGAATAGACACTCCACCAAAGAGG